TATTTCTTTTCAAATACTTAAAACTCTGAAGTAAAATATTTTTCTATATTATTTGTGAAAAAATATGACTTTTTAAAGGGTGTCAACCTGACTTCTCTATACATATCTTGATTCCAATTTTTCAAAGGCAAGAACAGAGAGAGTTCAGCCCTCTAAGGGATCCTACTGCCTCGTGGCCTATAAAAATGAGCGAGTGCAGGTCAGTCATAGTGGGTTTCCTAAAACTTTCTTTAGCAATCATCCTTATTGCAATGCGGGTGCTTTCCATTCCCCTGCCAGGAAAAACCAGATTCAAAACACTCACACACGCACACACACGCACTCACAAATACGTTGTGCATCTATCTGTTCCACAAATCGTTTGCTTTTTGCAATAGAGGTACTAAAATATATATTACTTAAAATATATTACTTAAAAGCTCTTCAACTGATCTTTCCATCGTATCAAATGTATTGCATTGGGATCAAGACGAGGGGAAGTGGGGAGACTCCCTGCCGTGCGGCCAGCGGTGTTCCTGAGCGGCTGTGCGTGGCTCCGGCCCCGCGGGAGACGCCACGGGGCGGCCACGGCAGCCGGCCAGAGCGCTCTGCCCCCGCCCCCCAGCGGGACGCCCCTGCGTGCCCCCAGCTGGCGGGCGGGAGCCAGGACGCCACTGCCCCCCTCCCTGCAGCGCCACCGTCAAGACCGGGTCCGGTCCAGGAGGGGCTCTGGGCAAAGGTGGGGGCCCACGCCGTGGCCGCGCGGCTCCTGTGGCCTCTGTGCAATGCCGGCTTCGGCAGCAGTTCGGCGCTGCGCCGAAGCATTAAAGCAGACGTGCCTCTCAGCCCTGCTGCGCTTTCACGAGAACCCGCACCTTCCCAGCAGGCCTCCTCGGGGCTCGCCGGCACGTCCCGGCAGTAGTCGCTAGGAGCAACGCCGTGGGGGAACGGCATGCGGGGGCGGCTGCGCTGCGGGCTGCATCCCACACACGACCCCACCAGGCACATCACTGCCGCCGCCCCACTCGAGGCCGCCCTGGGCGCTGCTGGCCAGAGCGGCCACCCCCACCCCCACCCCCACCGTCCAGGCAGCCGAGGACTGTGCTGCCCGAAGTGAGGAAGCCCCTGCCGCAGGCAGCTGCCACTTCCTGGAGCGGGGACCCCCCTCGAGCAGCCGGGACCGTGCTGCCGGCTGGAGTCCGCGGGCCCCAAGAGGCGGCGACGCACCTCTGCCAAAGCGAGCCGGTGCCGGGGGCGCAGCCGCTTGCCCGGGGATCTAGCCCACAAAGCCACCTTGGCATACACAACATTCATCACGGGAAGCGTCGGCTCCCTCCCTGAGAGCGCGCCCCACATAGGGGTGGAGAAGACAGAAGCGGCAGCGCCCGCCCCCTGCAGCTCGGCCCTCCGGCCACCCCAAGGCCTTGGTAGCCTGCCTGGCAGGCCCTGGGCTGGGCAGAGGAGCGGCTCGGCTCACAGGGCCCTCGGCGGATCGGCCTCGTTCCGCAGCCGCTGCAGGCCAGGTCGCCCTCAGTCGGCACCGGCCCTGCCAGGTGGGGCCCAGTGGCCCTGGATTGCCTCTGCAGGCGCCCGCGGGGAGGAGCTGGGGCTCCGGAAGGCAGCCCAAGCGGCCTCCCTGCACGGCCACCCTCGGCCCGAGCAAAGCCGCCCGCCCGTTGGACTCCCTCGCGCCCGGCTCCACACGTCCGTCGCCACGCTCGAACCCCGCTTCCCGCCTGGCTGCCCGCCTCCTACCTGGCCCTGGCCTGGCGCCGCTTCCGCCTCGTCCCCAGCCGGACCCCGGTGCCTGGTGCCTTCACCCATTCTCCCTGCCCGCAGCCCGCTCTTGAACTGGACGGTCTCCCCGGAGCGCGACCGTTGGATGGGGACCTTCGAGTGTGCCTCTGGGTCGTGCACTCAGCCTGCGCTTGCCTGGCTTCAGCGCCCGGGCGTTGGCCCCGGACCGCCAACAAGCCTGCCTCCGCGTCCGGCCCAGCGGCCCCCTTACGGCCCTCCACCTCACGCCGGCGCCCCGGACCTTGCAAACGCAAAGCAGAGCGCCGGAGTTCTCCCCAGCCCCTCCCCAAGTTCTCTTTTCCAAGCACGGTGCCCCAGAGGAGCCATCAAGGCCTCCCGGTGTGGCGAAAAGCGCCCGAGATGTCCACCCGCTGCAAACGCATAATCTATGGCGAGGGGGGGGCCCACAAGGGTGGCCGGACGGGAGACTAAGCGGCCAGGCACCTTCTGGAGGCTCCCGTGAAGCTTCCGCAGCCTCCCCGATGGAGCCCTCCCCAGCCCGGTGCACTCCGGCGTGGGCCGTAGACCACGGCTGCTGTAGCCCAACAGGTACGGGAGTGCCTGGCGCAGGGGCTTCTCCGTGGGTGCTGCACCACAGCGGAAGCAGCAGGGCCTCTGGCCTGAAGCACGGCAAGGCCCCCCACCTGCGGAGGGCCCTGGAGGTCCTGGTGGCACCCGCAGATTGCGGCGCGGCCCCTGCCTGTGGGGTGGCGGGCAGTGCCGTGGCTCCCGAGGGCACACGCCCTGGGGGCCGCTGCACCGCTCCAGCGGCGAGCGCGGGGAAGGGGTCTCCCCGGCGCTTCAAGCTGCGGCCCAACTAGAGGCAGGCCGCGGCTGCTGGCTGCCAGGCGGGGACGGTTGGTGGGCTGCGCGGGGACGGAGCGTGGCCGGCTCCCAGGCCATCGGCAGGCCAGGGAGACGAGCAGCCGCCCCCGGGAGCCCGTCTTTAGCAGGTGTCCCGAGAAGGCCCAGCCCAGCCCTGGGGCGCGCTCCTGCGTACGGCCCGTGCCCCGGGAGCACCAGTCCCCTGACGCAGCTCGAGTGGAGGAGTTCTGGCACGACCCCAGCCGTCTTCCCCAGAAGCGCTGCCTCTTCGTGGGGCCCGGAAAAGAGCAAAACTGGAAGCGCCTTCCTTGGGGTGCTTTGATCCTTCTCACCTGAACACACTGTGCACCCCTAAGCTCCCCTCCACCTGCAGGGCCCACCCACTGGGATTCCCCTGTGGAGTGGTGGAGCCACGGGGAGCGTCCCCAGAAGACCGGCTGGGCCGGGCAGGGCAGGGCCGGGCCGGGGGGCCGCAGAGCAGCGGAAGCAGCTTCTGGCCCCTGTGCCCCCGGAAAATGATCTTGCCACAAAGAGATCTCCCCACGCAGGTCGTGCCTAAATTGGAAGCTCTCCAGAAGGCGCTGACGGAGCAGCCAGGAGCAAGCAGGGACCACGCCCCACCGCTACCACGCTGCCCATGCTCCCCACCCCAGCGTTTTGGGCCCAAGCAGCATACTAAAGCAGGTGGGAAGCCGGCCACCACGCGTCAGACACACCCGGGAAGAAGCACCTGGGCCTCACATGCTCCCCCTGGTCAGTCACTGAAGCTTCCCCGCCCACACGGACAGCAGGGCCCTGGCCAGCGTCCCGACTCTGAACTCCCCACAGGCTCAGGACAGGGCCCTCGGCGGGACTCCTGAGCAAGCAGGACAGAATGCACATCCCCTCACGGAAGCG